AGGAATGTTGGTACTCTCTTAGATAATGAAGTCTTTGAAGTGTTTCATTAAAGCATCCATTGGCAGACTCAAAATTGTACATTCTTAAAAATTTCCTCCTGATTTGATTTCGTAAATACAAATAATGTTCTACTTTTGGACCATAGTCTGCTATAGGCGCCTGCAGTCTGCTAGAGTAGTTGGGTGATTATTGTAAGAGCTTACTTGACTACAACTGGAAAATATATTCTTTAAGGTTTGCTGTGTTTATCACACTTCCTACTATGAAGTGCTAATTAGAGATGCTTTGTTTTGCTGCTGTGGAGGAGTCTCTGACTTGGTGCTCTTTATGGTTCACAGTGGCCTGTAGTTCTTTCCAACAGCAGTTGTGCAGTCAGCTCACTGCATGGAAACCTGACTTTGCCTGCAGCTGGACAGTTTGGCAGAGGCCACAGAGCAATCCCTAGAGAGTTAAAATCAGAGAAAGCAGCCTGGGGCCCTAGTTCACTTGGCCTTGCCTCTGCCTGAGAGGAGGAAGTAGAATAGGCAGATCAATGTGTATCTCCCAAGGTTTTGCTGTGAAATAGTGCTTGTACTTTGAACCAAAACAGATGAAATGCTTTATTTCCTGTGCTTTAGCAGAATTCAACTGATCTTGTATGAAGAAGAGGGGGATAACCTAAACATCTAGTTAAGCTGGAGGAAAAAAAAACAACCCCAAAACCTAGAGAAACTGAAGAAATTATTCTGTGGCATTATAAGGGCTTCAGAAGAAGTTGTTGCCTCTAAATGTTCCAGTGTTTTTTACCTCAAATATTTTCATGTACTTAGAAATAGTTGCAGTTCTTACGCTAGGCTTTTCCAGAACTGGGGGTTGCATGTTCCCGCTGAGGCTGTTTCTCCTTTCTGGAACCTGCTTGGATGTTTCCTGAAGGAGATGCACAAAATATGTTTTTGCAATTGATTGCTTTTGGGTTTTGGTGTTTGAAGTTGGTGGATATGAGTTACTGTCACTTACAAAGGAAAAATACTTTTGAAACTTTCTTCTTTTTTTGACCAAGTTGAAGGTGCCCAGCGTTGTTACTTTAAATTTTTGCTGATTGAGGGAGATGAAAGGGAAGGTGCTGAAATGATGGAAGATGTAGCAAGCGATGTGCCACTGATGAAAGACTGGCCTCCGTACCTTGCATATTGCAGCAAATAAGTGAATTTGTGTGAATATATTCCTTACGTCTTGTATCTACCCTACCGTTATCCAGTTATGGGGCCAGGCTTGTATTTAGGTGATGTATTTTCCACAAACTACTAGGGGAAAGGAAAATGGGGCAAACACATGTTAAATTTTGGGGCCAGTTAAACCTTAATAACAATGTGAGGTTCTTTCAGAAAATAAACTTGAAGTTGTAGTCTGGGTTTCTCTACACCAAGTGGGCCTTCTGCTTGTATTTGCAGGTGCCAGTGGGAGTGGGATTGATTGTAAGTAAAATAGCTCTGTAAAATAAGATATAATTTGCAAAGCAGATTCAGATTAAGTTCATGGCACTGGAACACAAAGTTTGATTATGTTATGAATCACTGTTGTATGTGAAGCAAAGTTCTGAGATGTTTTTGTCTTCCTTAAAGTGATCTTGTTTGATAGACCAATACCTTAACATTGGTCTAGTTCTGCTTGAATATGAAGAAGGTTACTGAAGGTGTGGCTTTGTAATCTGTATGTCTGTGTCTCAGCTAGGGTAAAAATGGCTGACAACTTGCTTTTAAAGAATTGGATGAGATTTTCAGAAGCTGGCTGATGATCAAACATCCATTCTCTTAGGTTGTGTCTGAAAATCCTACCTAAAACAAAGATGATGTCTATCTTGAATTCTTACTTACTTTTTAAAGAAAATTGAACTTTTGTACCTTTAAAGACCTCTCAAGAGTCTTGGTGTTCAGAGAAATCCATCTGTGGGTATGAGCATGAAGCAGTGGGCTAATTTTTTTTAATGGGAAGTTTTAAAACTTAACAGTAAAATTTATAGTCCTAGCATTTACAAGGTCCAAAAAATCCCTGATGGGGAGCGGGTGGTGGAACAAGATTTAGTGGAACTGATTTAGTCTTTTGAGTATCTCACAGCAAATACGCGCAGTGTTTCAAAGCTATCAAAGTGAAGTGGAAGCACTCATAGTATCTGTAATGCTCTGCATTTGCTCGTTAATAACAGCAGCATTGACTGACACTGAGTCCCAGCACAGGAAGCAGTCACCATGTGTCTAGAAAGATCTTTCAAGTCTGAGGTAACCAGTAGGTGAATTAAGTTGCCTCATGCAATGTGTACCTGTTAAGTGTTGATCCTTGTACCTCAGTTTCTTTGTAGCTTTCCATTCAGCAGAACGTCTGAAGTTTCTGTGGAAAACCTAAGCTCAGCAATATTCTTCCAAGTGAATGCTGACCTGCAGTTCTAGTAATTCTTTTGCATTGTGAATTCAATGTACTATGTATGAAAGCAGTAGATCATGAAGAAAACATGATTTTGTGATTTTGAGGATCTTTTTATCCATATTATTGTGGATAAAGCAAATTAATGGCTTTTTATTTTCTCAGTGTGACAACTATGAAATCCGTCCTGGGAAGCACCTTGGAGTATGCATCTCTGTGGCAAACAACAGGTTATTTGTTGGGTCGATTCCAAAAAACAAGACTAAGGAAAACATATTGGAAGAGTTTAATAAAGTCACAGGTGAGGCCTTCTTAATGTTTTTTTTTCACACTGATCCCAAAATACCATTCAGTCTCTCTGTTCTGTAGGTCTAGTTATTTGACAGATGCATTTAGCTATCATTTAAACTATTTAAATCCAAGTTTTTCTGGTAGAAATTTTATATATCAAATATATTTTATAGTGTAGTATAAAGGTATTAGTGTTTATTTTACTGTTTGTTAAATTAATGGTGTTGTAGGTTTACAATTTGAGATGGAAACAGCACAAATGAACTTGGAGAAAAATGAAGGTCCTAATTCTGTTACCTGTTCTGGCTTCCTGTTGAAGGCTTTGGATTTGTAACTGGAACTACAATAGATTCTGCTTTCACAACTGAGAAGTTTTTGGGAAGCCTCAAAAAACTGTATTGTTTAGGAATAGTTGGGGAGGAGGGAATACTACATCAGTTTAGAGGGAATGTTAATTGTAGAAGTAGTTAAGGGCCGATTAATTTCTGTCACAGTTAATCACTGTTGTTCTCCAGTATATGTTTCTTCCTAGCAAGTAGGAAGAAAAGAAGTCAGCTCATCACTGGAAGGATGCTTCTGCTTTAAATAAGAGATTGAGATCTTGATGGCCTGTTCTTGTTCCTTTGGTAGGGCTTTAACCTACTGCTTCTTGTTTAGGATTGCTATTTATAAGTACTTCAGGGAAGTGGTGAAAACAGAAGGTGAATGTTCATTTAGTTATCTTTTGGAGAGATGCGGAAGAAATTTTTTCCAGCTTCTCCTGGAGGCACGGGATATGCCATGTATTCATGCTGACTGCTTTTCAAAAATGTAAAAATGATAAAACAAAATATAGAAAACTTACAACTGTTCAGGTGGATGTTTTGCAGGGCCTAATTGTGAGGTAAGTTTGTTCTGGAGAATTTCACCTGCTAGTTGACATGTTTCTGGGTAAATTGGATGGATATATTTTCTTTATTTTGCTTTTCTTGTGTTCCCTTCCCCTTTCAGGTGTTAAATTCAAAGACTATGTATTACAAAAAACAAGTGAAGGCATCTTAGAGGGGATGCTAGATTTTATTTTCCTGTCCTTTTGAAGCTAAATACTAAAGACCTGTTTTTCAGAGGGTTTGGTGGATGTAATCTTGTATCATCAACCTGATGATAAAAAGAAGAATCGAGGATTCTGCTTCTTGGAATATGAGGATCACAAGTCAGCAGCACAAGCTCGCCGCCGCCTGATGAGTGGGAAAGTAAAAGTCTGGGGAAACGTTGTGACGGTGGAATGGGCTGATCCAGTAGAGGAGCCTGATCCAGAAGTCATGGCAAAGGTAAGTAAAAACTTACTTTGGGAGGAATTTCTATATGCCATAGTCACAAAGATTTGTTGCAGCTGGGCAATGTGAGTTTTGAGGCACAAAAAGCAGTTGGAGGGTATTTTCGTAGTAAGCTGTGGAAACTGGCACGGTCCGAGAACTGCAGACTAGTTGGTACTGTAAGACAGGAACTTGCTTTTGTAACCTACTGTTCACATTTAAGCTAGTAGCGTACAGGGTTATCCTGCTGGATTGGCAAAACAGTCTGTTCATTATTTGCTTCTGCTGATAATAAATACTAGGTGGATATTTTGTAAAACTATTTTCCAGAGTGAGATGAAGGTGAAGTTCAGCATAAGGAAGGACGTGCTCTTTATCCCTGTGTTTTGGGATAACACTTTGCTGCTCTTGAGGTCTGTTACTAAAGTTTTACTGGGATTTATAGCATCCTAGAAGCAGAAAATTAAAGTTGGATATTCTTCTGGTCATGGAAGGGAACTGTGGAAGGAGAGAAGTTGTAGAAATTTTGTACAGGTAACTACAAAGCACTTTTAAAAAATTTATTTGTTTTTAACAGGTACAGAAGTTATCAAAATTTCTTAATGCAGATAAGGGAATAACATCTTAATAGGTTATGTTAGTTTCCTTTGAGATTTGACTTTTAAAGATTACAGCTTTCATTCTCCCTTTTTTACCAGGTGAAAGTTTTATTTGTAAGAAACTTGGCCACTACTGTGACAGAAGAAATTCTTGAGAAATCCTTTTCTGAATTTGGAAAGCTGGAAAGAGTAAAGAAATTGAAGGATTATGCTTTTGTTCATTTTGAGGACAGAGGTGCAGCAGTGAAGGTAGGTTGATTATTTCCTAGCTAAATTGATATGAGCAGTTTATTTTGTACAAATGGTTTTAAGAAATTTCCTTACATTAAATATCTAGATAAGACAATTTGTAGAACCCATTTAATAAGGTTCCCATTGTGAGAATTTTAACACTAATAATTTTGTTCCTATGATTTCAGTAGCTAGGAGGATGTGAACCTTACAAAGGACAAAACTGTAGCAAAGTTAACAAGTAGACTGGAAAGGAGGTATAGACCAATGCAGGAGAGTCTAGAGAAGAGGAAAAAAAAAAAGATCAACCTAGACAATTTTTCTGAGGAAACACTGACAGAAGGTATCAGTTGTCTCTCGAAGACCCCTATTTAAAAGCTCTGTGTAGTTTTGGAGTGACAAAAGTATTGAATAGAAATGGCAAGCTAATTAAAAAAATGCCTTGTGAAGGGGAGAAGAATGTCACTGGCAACTTAATGCATTACCTACTTTTAACTCTACAAAGCAGTAGAGAAGGTCATTAATCTCTGCTGTTTGTACTTCAGTGGACTGAATTCTATAGAAATTACTCCATCTGTTTTTTAAATCCATAGTTTATGGGGGGAAGGAGGAGGGGAGTAAGCATTTGGCACATGGGAGTCTTGAGCAAGTATGCATGTGGTTTATGTGGCTACATAGACAATTTAAAGGCTTTTCACTCAACCTTATAAATAATTTTATAACCATTTAATCACTTACAGTTTTCCTACCCACCAAAATAGGATTTAGAATACTGTTGAATTTGGCTTTAGGACGAATGGCACTCATAAAGTTGAAGTCAGTTTGGATAGGTTTAGACCCCTGACCAAGAGAGGGTAAGAGATTGTTGACAGAAAGGGTAAGTCGGCAGCACCTCCTGACATGTTTTATCGTAGAGTCATAGTGGTTGGAAAAGACCTTCAAGATTGAGTCCAACTATCAACCTAACACTACCAGTTCCACCTCTAAACCATGTCCCTGAGCACCTCGTCTACCCATCTTTTAAATCCCACCAGGGAAGGTGACTCCACCACCAACCTGGACAGCCTGTTCTAATGCTTGACTACCCTTTCGGTGAAGAAGTTTTTCCTGATATCCAATCTAAACCTCCCCTGGTGCAACTTGAGGCCATTTCCTCTGATTCTACTGCTTATTCCTTGGTTGAACAGACTGACCCCCATCTCTCTACACCCTCCTTTCAGGGAGTTGGAGCGAGCAAGAAGGTCTCCCCTCAGCCTCCTTTTCTCCAGGCTAAAATTATCATAGTATGTTTTTAAACACTCTCCAGTGCCTTCCCAGTATGGACCTTATGTTAGATTTGAGCAACTGAAACCTTGTAGCAGTTGAGAAAAGACAGATCAAATGCAGTACAGCAGGGTGCAGTACTCATCTTCTCTGAAACAAGCTGGAATACTACCACATCTGCCCCATGTGACTGATTTATGACCACTCAATTGGCTTGTGAATTTTGTGAGATATTTTTGTGGTGTTTGTTTTTTAGTGGAAGCATTATGGTATTAATGTATGGAATGCTTGGAATTAGCTTATTAATTCCAGTGTCTGCTTATTTTCATACCTTTGAAGTAAGTCACCATGATCTCTAATGTTTTTGAGGCATGTAGCTGTACAGATGTGTTAGTGCACATATTTATTAATGCACATATTAATATGCACATATTAATGCTCATATTTGTCAATGCACATATTAATACCCAGAAATGTTAAACACAAAGCAGATAACTCCAGGTGAAGAAATGGGGGGATGTAGTGCTAATTTACTTTGTATGTGTAAATATATATAAAAAGTTCTCTTTGTGTGTGCATTTGATAATTACAAATAACACAGTACATTTCTGGAGTATTCTTGCCTCATTTGGTGCGATCACCAAGTTTCAGTAGTATTTTTTTTTTTTCCTGTTAAGTATGGGTCCTCCAAAATACTTGATTTCCTCAGAAGTACTCATGTAGCACATTCAACTAGCTAGGACGCCCGAATATAAAAAAATACTCTCTTTCTTTTGTGTGCGTGCTTTCTAGCAGGCTTACAAGTACAGTGAGTGTTGGTGTCAGTGTGAGGAGTGAGAACTTCTGTGAATGCATTTCTGAAACATTTCTAGGGGATATTGAAACAAAAAGTGATGGTGTTATATCAGATTTTTTTTTTTTTTTAAATAATGCTCAATATGTTTTAATCCCATTCTTTTACCTTGTGATCTAAAGAGATTTTTTTTTTTTTAATGCTGCTTCACTGTAACTGGTGAATAAAGTGGGGCTTGAAATAATAATATGTAAAATTGTGTTGTAGTACTGCAGAAACAAAGCACGTGGCATAGTTCAGCCTGGAGCAGCCCAACCTTCTGTTTTCTTTCAGTAAATTCTAGTTTCCTTTTGAATGGAAAGAAATTTTTAGATGTTTTTCTTCTAATTTTTGTACAGGCTATGAATGAGATGAATGGCAAAGAGATAGAAGGGGAAGAAATTGAAATAGTATTAGCAAAGCCACCGGATAAGAAAAGGAAAGAACGTCAGGCTGCCAGACAGGCCTCCAGAAGTACTGCGTGAGTGTTCATCCTTGCACTACTCTAATCCTGCAGAATGAAGTTCTGCTGTAAAATATGAGGCAGTTTAGAAGAACTTGAATGACTTTTCTCCATGTTGTGTATTATTAATCAGGAAGGAGAAATTTATGCTTTATTTTGGCAGACTTTTGGAGATAAATAATTGCATGTTTCTTTTTCTTAATAGGTATGAAGACTATTATTACTACCCTCCACCTCGCATGCCACCTCCTATTAGAGGCAGAGGCCGTGGAGGGAGAGGTGGATATGGCTATCCCCCAGATTACTATGGCTATGAAGATTATTATGATGATTATTATGGTTATGACTATCATGACTACCGTGGTGGCTATGAAGATCCCTATTACGGCTATGATGATGGCTATGCTATAAGAGGAAGAGGAGGAGGAGGAAGGGGTGGGAGAGGTGCCCCTCCACCACCTAGGGGGCGGGGAGCACCACCACCAAGAGGTAGAGCTGGCTATTCACAGAGGGGGGCACCCATGGGACCGCCAAGAGGAGCCAGGGGTGGGAGAGGGGGTCCTGCACAGCAGCAGAGAGGACGCGGTGCTCGTGGAGCCAGGGGCAACCGTGGGGGCAACGTAGGAGGCAAGAGAAAGGCAGATGGGTACAACCAACCTGATTCCAAGCGCCGTCAGACCAACAACCAGCAGAACTGGGGCTCCCAACCCATCGCTCAGCAGCCGCTCCAGCAAGGTGGTGACTATGCCGGTAACTATGGTTACAATAATGACAACCAGGAATTTTATCAGGATACTTATGGGCAACAGTGGAAGTAGACAAGTGAGGAGGGATTGAGAATATTGGAAACATAGAATTGGCTATAGCTCTACATCCTTCAAAACAAAATTGGCTTAATGTTTCATCCTTCAGTAGCGATTGGCTGCCATTTGTATTGGGCTGAAGAATCACTATTGTGTATATACTCGAGTCTCTTAGTTTTCTTTTTTCATAAACGCACTTGGACATTACTGGGCTTGCAGAATTCCTGAACTCCATATGGGGTTTCAATGCTTTTATCATT